GAAACCGTTATCTTGATGGAAATTGAACATTAATAGAGATACACAAATCTCCTTTAAAATTTTGCTTTAATTATTATATCCTGTTAGGCTGCTGTTAAGCATTTGGCAAATATACTTTAAAGAATTCAAAAGAAAAAAAGTGTTTCCTGCTTTTCTGAACTTAGTTTTCAAAAATGCTTTCCTGAGCATTTGAAACAGAAAAACAAAATGCTTCCTTATAAATACATTATTATAACACACACAGGGTCTCTGACTCTAGGCAAAATACTTGTACTAACTAAAGTACTAACTATTAACATTCCAAAAACGTGTTTGTCAGCACTGGATGCTACGGAGTCAGTGGTGCAGGCTGGAGAACAACACAGTACTGCCACTCCTAAAGCTTTCAAAGCAGTTTTGTTTTATGACCAGAGGCCGGCCACACTACAGCATTTTGTCATGATTACAAGAGAAAAAAAATCCAGTAAAACACAGCTGACTAAATGGTCAAACACTACCATAGATTCAACTTTAGTACAGCTTACAGGTAGCAAAATTACTACTTTGCGAAGACTCTCACAACAAGTTCTTTCCTCCTTCTCCTGCCACCCAGCTCTTCACAGTACCATCTTCTCATATTCCTTCACACAGCCACAGACAGTGAGGCAGCACAGCCTAAGGGCTCTAAAATTATCACAACCACAATCCATTTCAGAACGTTTCCCGGAGTTCAGCTCCTAGCAAAAGACAGCCTGGCCAAAAAAGGAATCCCAAGGTTTACATAGATGGGTGAGGACCAGTTTCACCACCATCATCAATGGAGGAATGGGCTTTGAGAAGAGCAGCGTTATTACTCCTTCATCTCCCATCCGAGAGCTCAAGTCTGGATATGATGTGCATAATCAATCAGTGCACTCCTCAGTCAGTGGAAATGCTGCGTCATTGGTGACTAGAAATATTATTTATTTTCTCCAAAAAAGCACAGATAACTTCACATATGGAAGGAAAAATCCTCCCTGATGAAAAACACACGTGCAGGCCAGCAGGCCACTTCTGCACAAGCTAGAGGATTGCTGCTGTCCCACTGAATGAATAAATGTATGAGGTTGCAGCATATTACACGAGGGCTCCTGGCAGCCCACTAAAACCCTCTCCCAAGGCAGGTGATGGGTCTCTATCAAAGGATTAATGTACTACAGCGATTATGCTCAATGAGAGGAATACATACCCTTCTGAGACATAGCCTGAGCTGATGTGCACCCACATGGAAATGCAGATGCTAGCAAAGGACAGGCACTACGGTTCCAGGCTGGAAAGCTGTCACTTACAACCATGCTTGACACAGTTCAACCATTTTCATGACAAGCAGAAGGGGATACCCTAAAAGTACGACCTTATAATGAAGAGGCAAAAGTACACCACTCTCCTGTCAACAGCGGAATGATAAAGAAGAAAGGGTGCTAACTAGGCTGTTCTTCATGGGCCATATGGAACCCTGCACTTATTTCCCCATACTTTTCCCTTCCAAAAAAAAAAGAAAAGAAATTTATTGCACAGACATGTGTTCACATCTGGACACAGGGATGGACCTCATCTACAACATTAACTAGACAGTTGAGTAGAACATGCATACCACATAAGACTTGTTATTCAGAAATGCACGCTGCAAAATGTTTCATAACATTTCAGGATGTGAGGTTGTGGACATAGACATAACAAATAAACAAATAACTAGGGTTTTACACTTTTATGTTTCTGAAGTAACAGTGGGAAAAGTTGTCAACTTCCTGAAAGAGCTTAAAATGCTTTCAACACTCAGACTAAGTAACTGCTATCCAGAGCCACATACACTATTTCCATTCAGAGTACATCAGTCACACAAATTCCATACTGTAAAAAATACATTTTGGTCCATACAGAACAAAAACTGTTCACTATTCTTGGCTCACATGACAATATAACATCCACTTCCAGTATTCACAGTTGTATTAACACTAATACTTCCAGGCTCGATACCAAAGAATGTCAAACCTACTTGGCAGCAACTTGAACAAAAGGGAAAACAACATCCAAATTTCCAACCACTGACTTGATATGAATTTTTCTGAAGAAGGAATGTGCTTCAGGCAAAAAGCACAATATTATTCCGAGATTTCTGAGTTGAACAATAACAAACAAAGAGGAACTCACTGATTTTATCGATAAAAACCTCACAAATTTAACTCTGTAAAGAATAAAAATGCACCCAAGAAAAACGCGGTAGTAACAAGTAGAGTTGAACTACAAAAGTAAGACCCAATCTTCTGTTATTGTCTACCTATACTAGAACAGGTCCAATAACCTTTTCTAGAAAACCTCCAGTATTTTCCACAAAGGCAAACCTAACAGCTGCAATTACAAAGCCTTTTAAGGCTACTATTATTAAGTTACTAAGTACATTTGGCTTTATATAGACTCAACATGTATACACCATTTGAATATTTAAGGAAGTTGAACAGTTTCTTCAAACAATGCTTGATTAACTTTCCTGCTGTCCTTTCAGCAGTCATGAGCTCTTATTTTCAGCGCTCTCAGGCAGAATACATTCAAGCAGCAACACAGAGATCTCTAGCGTGTCATTTGTTATGTAAACTAAGCAAAAGCCTACTTTCTATTGAATCATATGCACACCAAATACTGAAGTAACAGGGTTTTTCTGGTGATATTTTTGTTTGCACACCATTTTCAATGCACTGTCATACAGTGAAGGAGCTGCAGTGCAGTTCTTTAAGGCTGAACTCAACAACTGAAGGCAGCCATGTCTGAACTACAGATTATCTGTAATACTTAAAACCCTTAAAACCTACCCAGACACACAAATATGAATACAGATTCCCCTCAAAACAACAATGATGCTCTACATCAAAGGTGTGGGTTTTTTCCCCCGCAGATCATAGCTCCTGTGTAACAGCATGAAAATTTTAATGCATCTCAGCAAAGGGAAAACTTCTGACAGGCACTGGGGAAGAAACGTCTCAAAATTAGGTCTGCCTCTGAAGGAACAGCTACTGTAGAGCTAATCTATCCTCCCTGAGCTTTGTCAACCAGCTTGTCACTTGTGTGTAGGAGTAAAAGGAGACTACAGGAACCCGGTTTTCTGTCAGCAATGGACAGGACAGAGGCCAGGAGCTCCACTCAAGCAAATCCTCACTGTCCCCTTCATCCCAGTCTGAAAACGACTGCAGAGGACACAGCACAGACTCAGCTCATGCATTATTTTACACTAGCCTTGACTGTCAGGTGCAAGACTGTTGAGATTCAGCACCCACAACCCGTTTAACATGCACCAAGTAGAGCCTCACTTCTTTATGTAAATGCAAATGACACAACTATGCTTGCTCTCAGATCAGGGGGAAATTTGTATTCAGCTGATTCAGACAACAGAAGTAACAATTTGGCACCTACTATAACTAAATTAGAAGCTGCTGATTGCCCTGAGGATACAAAGCTCCTATGGTGTTCAATCCTGTTTGGATCCCAAGGTTTACTCAGTTTGTGTCACAGGATGAGCACTGGACTTAAACTTATGGTCAGACCCAACATTCACAACACAAACAAAAAGCTGTTAGCTGCACTCTTTTGCTCTTACTGTGCTTCAAAAGATGTTCAAGACCCTATCTTACTGCAAAAAGAATCTTCTCTGGCAATTTCCAATTATCTGCTGCAAAATACAATGTCTGGAATTGGAGTAAAAACATGGCTTAACCTTCTGTGGTAACCATATTATCTCTTAATAGTCTAAACTTGTGACACCCATTCAACAGAAGGGAATGTGTACAACTTCCCATTTCCACAGGCAGGGTAAAGCTTTTGTCCAAACAACTTCAACTCCACCCAGAACATGAAACAATAAATTCAACACCATTATCCGATGATATTTTGATACGCTACAAACTAACATCAAAAACTAGGCCTAACAGTTTTTTAGAAGGGTCTGATAAGGCACAGTATCCATCCCAGCATTCTCTCTGGCACCATGTAGTATATACATTCAGCGTTATCAAAATCAAGAAGTGAGATGAAGACTCAGAGCAAAGTGGTATTGTAACTGGTAATGGGTTAACACATAATAAAAAGTATAAGTTGGTTTTCATAGAATCATAGAATGGCATGGGCTGGAAGGGACCTCAGAGATCATCTAGTCCAACCTCCCTGTCATGGGCAGGGACGCCACCTCTCAACTAGGCCAGGCAACACATGGGGACCGAGCGGGAATCGAACCCACGACCTCGGTGTTGGTCATTGTTGTCAGCACCACGCTCAAAAGGAATTTGAAAAGTTTTATTGTATAAACAGTCTTTCCTACCAACTACTATTTTCAAACCCTGTTTAGCTTTCTTAATGAAACAAATCCTTACCAAGGTACCAACAACACAATGGCTACTTCTATTTCACATAAACTACACACAATGGAGATCAGTCTTTAGAGACTGGAATTGCTTTTCAGAAGGAGAATGGAGCCATGAAGTACGCCTTTTCAAAATCTCTTGGCACCTTTTGCAAGAAACATCCAGTGCCCCGTGATGGCATCTGTAACAATTAAATCAGTGAACACTCCTAGTTATTCCTTTCTCACTGAAGCCCAGAATTGCAACCTCAGAATTGGAAAGCAGTTATTCTGAAAAGCACCTCTCTCTCGTCCAACTGTAGCCCATACACAAACATCAACGGTGGAAAGGACTAATCCAATGTAAGCCGCAAGAAGCAAAGGAAGAGAACTCTTAAAGTACCAACTTGTTGATTTGCCACGCCTTTGCTGCACACTCACACCAATACATACACACATGTTCTGTCTCACACGTGCACAAAACATGGAAAATACCCATTTAAGGGCTTCAGTTGAGACTATTCCACATTGAGGCTAAATGGCAATTCTCAATTAAGGAACAAGATTTATATATTCAAGTACTTTCTAATTATTTCCTCACTGCACTCGGAACATTTTCTTAATTTTGAAACATTTTACTACTACTGCCCAGCTCTCAGTTTCTCTTAAAGTCAGGGGATTTTAACTGGCGAACATAAGGCTGCTTTTCATCAAACACTCGTATGCCTCTTCTGAGAAGATAAGCACAAAAAAAGGTCAGGAACACTGGTAACGTCACAATGAAAACAAAACTTAGAGATTAAATTAAAATAGCAATAATTTTTCAACAAAGTTTTTAGTGAGTTAAAAGTTCTGATAAAGAAAAATAACACAGCATGGTTCAGGATTACAAAATCAACCCAGTCAACTCACCTTCCAGGAGGAATTCCTCTCTTCGTGAGATCTATTCGTACTTTCTCACCCACGTGTCTATAAACCTCTACGATGGCTAGTATGGCACTGTCTCTCACCTGTGAATATAGTTTAAATGGTTAATTTCAGGGTTGCAGAAACCAACACAACATTTGCTGACAACCCACTAATCTCCCAGTTTCTACCGACGTGCGCCTGAACTCCCTTCACAAACCAGCTGAAACAGTGAGGATGGAAGGGAAAGGAAATACAACTGTTATTTCAAGATGGTATTTGCTCCAAGTTAGAGTATCTCCAGATGGTGAATTAAAAAATCCTAGAAATAAGAGCTCTAGAGGGAATTTCTGGGATTGACAAAAGAGTACTTTTGGAAAAAGAAGTGCTTTATTTAAGACTCCATGATAGTAGGCAATACTTGCAAAAGTTAGTCCTAATGCTTAATCTTGCCTTTATCTGTTGCTACATGCAGTGAGGTCCTTCCGAAAAAAAAGGACCTCACTGTCCATGGGTGTGGGCCAAAAGAATCAGTGTTTTCTTGACTTCCTTCAATAGAATTATACGGCACCACATAAACACAAGCAAGGGAATAAGACAAGATAAGGGATGGGGGAAGGGGAGTTAAAGCAAGGAGACGGAGTGCCTCTCTAAAAATTTTTAGATCACAATCATCACAATAAAAACTGCCGAAAATACATGCTAGTAAATACCATTATCCTTCATAAAGAATTACTGGAATGACTTTAGTATTGTTCTTTGTAATAGTTCAAACTAAACTCTATCTAAACTAAATCTCTAAATATCTAAACTAAATCTCTATCAAGATACAAACTACATCTTTATTAACAATTGACAAACAAAACTTAACAGATTTTCCCTAGAACAGAACAATGCTACACTATACAGAGTAAACGAAGACTTTGCTGTATGCAGAAAGAATAAAGACCTATCCCGTTTATTTGCCTGTCTTCTACCAATGCTACCTTCCTCCTTATTGCGTTCTTAGTTTCCCCTCTCAGATGGAACTTCAGATAAACCAAGAGAGCTCTTATCTATTTCCACTTGAAGGTTTTCTGAAGTTCAGATGTCACCATTATGAATTACATCTTGATTTTCACTGCAGATGTTTTTGCCCAATTAACTGATTTGAGCTACAGTCCTTGTATGTGTTCAAATGCCATTTGGATTCCATTTAGGAAATTATTACACATGATAACGTTATCTTCATCAAATTTGGCAGACTTACAGGTCTCATGCAGGGGCTCCTTCTGGAAACAACTATTTTCAGTAGAGACTAGTTTCAACCTCTGAAGACAAAACTTAAGGACCCAGAAACACTGCTGCCTTTCTAACTCTTACTTTCATCTTTCAGTGGATGGACTGATTAAGAAGAAAACGGGTTTACTGTTTCTCAGGGTAGAAAATAACAATCTGTATACGAGCAAGACTACTGTCTTTTGTTAAATGCCTAAGTTGATTTTGTTTTCATTCCTCCGTCAAAGTATAATCGTTGAAGCACCGTTAAGTAACGAAACCCTTACCTGACTATTGGAGTCACCAAATGCTGTACACAAATGCGGTACCAACTTGCTGAGGCTTAATGATTGTGCACCATAACTACAAAAAAAAAAGTAATAAAGATTTGTCATTTTCTGGTTGTGGGGTTTGGTTTTTTGTTTTTTACAGAAAACACTTTAGACAGAAGTGAACTTTTAGCTTAGCATTGCTAAAATACAAACTTACATCAATCAAGCTCCATCTCTCCCTCACTAGTCTCCTCTCTACTTTTGAATAAGAAAAAAAAAAAAGCTATATAGTCTTCCAGAAAGTTCACAAGTTGTTTAATTTTCCCCGTTTACTAATTTAGTTGACCCAGACTTCCTAAATTATTAGTTTCAAAGAAAAGGTACGTTCAGAAAACAAATAGAACCATTAGGTCTCCATAGAAACAGAAAGCTTACGTGTTTAAGGTAGCAATAAGACACAAACACACTCCTTCTCGGGATCGGTAATTCTTGTGTTTAAAGCCAACAGCAAGGCGTTCCCAAACGTACTATAAAAACAGAAATAATTGTCTTTGATTACCAGGAGCACAACACAACGTAATTCAATCCATATTTTATAGTTACATTCATTGCAGTTGCACAAAAAAACCAATGGACGGGTCCCCTGGAAAAGTAAAGGTACTTCTTGGAAAAAATTAAGTTATAAAATGCAGTGTGGAACACGGATTATTCCTACGCAAAAAAAAAAAAGGTATTTAAAAATTCTACAAAACATTCTTCAGAAATCTAGTCACTACGCAATATTGTGTGAAAGGTATACAAAAGGTATACAAAACTGTTGAGTCAGCACACACAAACATTAACATTACAAATTGACTTGAGCAGAAGTTGCTATAGTGTTTTCGCTTCATATTGTTTCCCTGCTAAAATTTCCTCTCATCCTCATCCACACTCCTGCTGTCCACTTCTCCCCTACTTTCACTTTAAATTCACTTCTTCATTTGCCATTTCTTTCTTGCTCATTTGTCCTAACTCCTTCCCTCCATTCATGCTCTGCTTTCATCTGTCCTTTTGTGCCGACACTGCTTCCCGTAGCACGGGACTCTCCAGCTTGCTAAACCCTTGTTCTACCTTCTTGCATGCCTGCCTTTAAGTCTCTCTCCCTCAGTTTCATCATTCCACTTCTCTAGCTTGTACAGTATGGTGTGAAAAAAAATAAAATAAATTAAAAAAAATTTAAAAATGAAACTTACAAGCCTGGGGATTCCCAGCTGTATTCCGGAGCAGATGCGCAGACCCCCCCAGCCGCAGTGCTGCCATGACAGCCCCCCCAGCTGGCATCCGCGGGGAGCGTTGCCTGGAGATGGCTGCACACTGGCAAGAGCACATTTTGCAGCCGGGGCACCACCCACCTTCCCACCCCCCTTCCCCAAAAAAGGTGCAATCACAACAGATTCCATACCCATCTGCTCAAATGTATTAGCACTTTCAAAAAAAAAAAAACAAACCCCAAAAAACAACAACAACAAAAACAACAAAAAAAACACAAAAAAACCCAAAACAAACCAAAACAAACCCACACCCTTGCAAACAGCTATTGATCAAAGGCAGCATTAAGAGCTGCCTTTATTAAAGATGTAACATGCAGCAGACATGAAATTTTCCAATTAGAGGCTTGCTTGATTATTTCATTCCATCTGCAGTTTCTCGTTTGCTTGTTTGTTTTATACTTCATTACATTTAGAGAAAACAAACCTTAGACAAGCAGGATATGGCTTGCCAAGACTACACAGTGTAACAATAAAAGAACAGGATCTCATAGAAGCAAACAGGCTTCCAATTAACCTACTGTCCCAGACAAACATGGGAAAAGTTGCCCTCCTTGCTAGGTGTACAAAAATACAGGTAGAGGGGGAAAAGTACCGAAACGAACAAAGCAGACTCAAGAGAAGTTTAGTCTTTCACTAAGTCAACTTTAAGAACTGGATTCTTCTATGTAGAGAAATTCAAATTGTTGCTTAGAGATTTCAACTCTCACAACTTGCTAGCAACAGTTAGTGTCAACCTCCCTTTGTCCCACTGATATATTCATACCACCTGTACCCCTGGTTTTATGCTTTCCTGCCCATAAGCAGCTACATCTAGTTCTCAGTCACAAACAACCAAAAAAACAAAAAACAAACCACAAAACAATCGACCAGCCAACTCAAACACATCTGAAGCAAGAAAAGGGAATTGACAACAGGACACATGAAATAAAATTCACCAGCACACTAGAATAGATAGGTTCATCAGAAAGAAACTTCCAGAACTTATCCCCAAAAAGTTATTCCACCCAGCTACTCCAAAGGGATGTTTTTCTGTGGCCAAGGGAGCCTAAAACTCTGTGTTTCAGTGCTGGAGGCGCAGGAAAGACTCCTCTGTTTGAGTCCCTGCTGTGAGAATGACCGATGCTTTTAATCCAAGTTTTTAATGCTACATAAGCTGCCCTGAGAGCAGAAAACCAAAACTGGTTGGAGGCCCCAGAAAAGCCGTATCTTCTCTTTAGGTACTTAGATACCTAAAATCCCAGTCACATCTGCGACCGAATCAAGTGAGAAAATGCCCCATGTTGGAAGGGAGATAAGGCCATTTCTACAGTTGCTTAACATGCTACCTGATCTTCTTATCAGGCAAACAAAGCGACTGAGAAAAATCTTCTCATTTCAGATCAACTCTGCAAAATCTGATTCCCTGCACATTAACATTCAAACCCACGTCTACAAATAAACAAAGCCAGGAACTAGCATGCAAAATAACTTAATTTTCAATCACAAAAAGATGTTCCCTATCAACTTCTGCATTTAGAACTCAGAAACAGATTTTCTGAACAAATAAAATCCTCAGTAGGTTCCTACTGACAATCAGGGTCCTCGGGGATCCAAACAGCATCACTGCTCAAACAATATAATCCTGTTGGAAGATCCGACATTTTTCAGACTCACAGCATAGTAATAACATGAGATTTAGCACTTGGAAGCCCCATAATGATAAAAAAAACTGTAAAAAGGTTTGCTTAAATTTCAACCTAAAACTACAAGTCAGAGGGCAACTTATCCCCACCTCAGTTTATCCAAGGTTCACCCAGCACATCTGTCATACATTTCTAAGTCAGAACACACCATCTCAGCTGTAGGACTACTCTTATGTGTTCAAGCAGGAGTAAAAAAAAGCAAAATAAATTCGCAGCTAACTATATTTATTCCCATTATGCCAACTCAAATCCAGGAGGGTGCTTCAAACGTGCGTTAATTAACAAAGTCCCGCCACTTGACACTAAAACATATACTCAGAATTTAGCCACGATATGCAAAACCAGCAAAATTGCGCTGTGCCAGAATTTCATCGAGCTGAATGATGCATCAGTGCCAATTTATTAAGAATATACTTAAAATTTGCACTATTAACAGTCACCATAACATTGTGACAGATTCCAAGTCAAGCTCATGCATAAGTCATAAGCTCACTGGAGACCTACATCCGAATCTACATTAAGTAACCATACCATGGGTGGCGCTGCTTCATCCATCAATTTCAATATAAGATTCTGTGCTTGCTCTCGAACTTGGTCTTTGGCATCTCCCATACGATCTATCAAAGGCAGAAGAACTACAGGGGAGGGAAGAAAAAAAAAGGAAGAAAAATTATTAAATACCCAACAAAAAGCTGATTAAGTGGTCAAGTATTTTCAAGTCTCAAATGTATTTCTGATTATCTTGAAAGACCATGACAAACACATTGGACTGAAATAAAAAAAAAAAAAAAGTATCTTTCAACAGGTTAAAAGAAGAGAAAGCTCCTCATCTTAAAACCAGTGTAAATTACTTCAATTTAATCTTCAAGCAGCATGTCAAGTCACATAATCTAGGTGGAACTCAACACAGACCATAATACCTGCCCAGCCCACTCTTCTGCTCCTGCACTCTAGGTAAGCTGGGGCTAAGTTTGCAATTACCATATCATTTATTCCAAACTATTAAACTAACATAACATTTACCTAGAGTCTTTTGGAGGTTTGTTCACATTCTAGGAGAAAAAGATAGGAGATAAGATGATTTTATGCTGCACTTGATGTTATGTCTCTGGAGACCTGAAAGTATTTTATCCTTGTTCTGTGACACCTCTCAGTTGCTGACTGCTACAAAATTCATTTTCCTATTCTCACAGAAGAAATAACTGTATTGCCCAAATTTTGAAAGAGAGATAAGTAATTTGAATGGTACTTAATGATTTTATAGTAATTAACTAAACCCCAGATTTGTCAGCAAACAAAAGGGAACAGAATCAGTAACTCATGAGGTCTCCTCAGTCCTCTGTTCCTATATTAAAGAGCAGACACTTCTGTATCATGATTTTTACTGCTGAAATAAGAATTTTCCCTCGTGCTGTATCTTTCTAATTGTCCTAATTTGAATATTTAATTCTACTGGCTCTGAATATTCCACTGACACCTTTAGCTACTTTTCTCAAGTGTTTGCATTTCTCATCTTTCCTTTCTCCACTGAGTAAGTTATTACAGCTACTTTGATTTTGCAGTATGAAAAGAAGCTTTGGGGGTTTGGGGAGTTGGGTTTTTGGTGTTGTTTTGCTGGTGTGGGACGTGGGATTTTTGGTTTGGTTTTTTGAGAGGTACTTTTGGTTTGTTGGTTCGTTTGGGTGGTTTTCCTCCATTTTGTAAACACAGAAGAAACACCCAGAACTGAAGAAGTCATTTGGGGGGGAGCACACAACTGACCCCTGTTGTAAACTTCCCATCAGCCACACACTTACTGATTGCATTTTTCCTCCCAAGAGCACTTATCATGAACTTTTTTCAGACTTCTAAACTGCCCTTTTACCTGTCCCACATCTGACTGGTGAGGTCTGCTACATGAACTCTGGCTTTACAACGACGGAAACAAAACACAACAGCAGAGAAGCTGTGCCAGCAGAGCGAAACACAACAAGCCCCAGTCCTGGGGGAACACAGCTCCTTTGTGACTAATTAGCCAGCCTAGGCAGTCGAGGGAGCTGCAGATAGCAGGGCTCCGCTCAAATCGGGAAGGCAAGCACAGAGAGCAGCTCCGAGAAGCAGCTGAACAGAGATGAGGTCACTGAGATAAAACCAAGCTATGACACTGCCTGCAGATTTCAGCATGCGAAGCCACAGAACAAACAGGTCTTTGTCACTTGCAGAGCAATGACAGAGGGACAACCTGCTGTGGGAGATGTTAGAGGCCCCAAATATTTGCAAGCTTGACTCCCGCCCCCACCCCCCCCCCCCCC